TATGCCGTTCTTGTACCTCGCGTTTATTCTGTTGTCCGTTCAATTCAATTGGATCCGAGCAAGGCGTTCACGGCACGAACACCCGCGAATCTGAAGCGGTCGTTGATACCGCAGTCAGGTTTTTCGGTATCGAGACGCGCCTGTACAAATATTCGAAACTATTGCTCGATAAGTGTACGGTATAAAATTATGAATCGCATCGCGCAACGTTCATTTAGCAGTATGATGGAAGAAACGGTAAAAAGTGACGGGTCATTTCTTCGTGGCAGTTAAAAGTTGAGCGGAAATAATGTCGTGAATCCTCTCTCCTAGGATCACCTCGGTGGAGTGCTCACCGCACTCACCTCGTTTATCGAAAAAAACACAGATCGATTATTGCGGTTTGATTTTGCGTCCAACTTGTCCCTAAGAGTCGCTCGCTCGAAAGAATATTTCATGTGAACACCCGGGTTATCATCGATACACGTCTGAATAAATTGCGTCGCTCGCCTTCTCAGAGCGCGTCGCAGCGCGGAATGTTTAGAAAACCATCGGCGTAGAAAAGCCATCGGCATGCAGTGATCGATTAACGGTACTCCGATACAGTTTGTCGCACGAAAGCTTTGACTGGACAGTTTCAAGACGGGATTTGAGGCAAATCCCGAGGAAATTGCACTTAACGAATGCAATCCGTTATCGGACAGTTCGGTGATATTTCGAGACATACTAATACAGAAATAATAATTTCAAATACTTAGTAGCATTTTAACGTTTCGTTGATATTTCGATCTTTCCTTTAACCCTCGACATTCTATCGTTGTCCATCCGACCTCAATTTTATTAGGTTGGTGCATATGAAATGTCGGATTTTCTTTACATGTGAACATTTGTCTTCCTGCTTTCGTTATACTTTTGTTTTTGGCATAACCTTTTTTACAGTCGTACTGTCCATTGCCAGAGTCATATTTTAACAAAGATTTTTTCAAAAAAAAGTGTGCTCTTTTGTTATCTGTTTTGAATTTTGTACGGATATGAATTCAACCGATATTCGTGTAATTTTTTTATATGAGTATAAACTTAGCAATAATGCTGCAAAAGCTACACGCAATATAAACCAGGCGTTTGGGAAGAATACTGTTAACGAACGAAAAGTGCAGCGTTGGTTCGAAAAATTTCAGTCCGGTGATTTTTCCTTACAAAATGAACCGCGTGGAAGACCAAAACGTCTGTGAATAATGATGTTCTGAAAGCATTGGTGGAAACGAATCCAACTGTATCTACAAGGGAACTTGCTATCAGAATGAAAGTCGACCATACAACAATATTGCGACACCTTTCTGAAATTGGCAAGGTGAAAAAAATTTTTTTGCTGTCACCATAGCAATTGACAAATTTGCTATGCCAGCAAAATATTTTCCTCCGTGCAGTTCTATTCGTAAGGATTGATATTTCATAATTTTCATTCTTCGTGAAAGGTTTTTCAAAGAACCAAATTTCCCTCTTTTTTAATCACAATAAAACTCATTTCAATTTGCAATTAACGCACAATACAGTGTACCGAGGATTAATTATACAAAAGATCGTAGAACATAAGCACATTCACACAAAAGCAAATTTAATTAATTTCTAAAAGTTCTAAAAGTAAATTACTCCCTTTTCATTAAATCGAGAAAGATCTACATTCATTCGGAGAAATACAGAAATTACAAGTACTGAAAATTAGTTCATAATACTCGATACATACAGAAATAAATGTCTCTCTTTGACGTGTGTTAGCGGTATTATTTTAAAAATATATGAGAGCTTTTATAACACTTTTTATATTTCTAACCAATCCTATTATAATCATTGAGAATATTATAACGCGTCCTAATTTCAGCACGCGGATAATTCATTCATATACTTTTAACAGAGATAAAGCCGCTAAAAATGAAGCTCATATGATATGAATTTGGTCCGTAATTCATCACCGGATATATTGACTTCCGATACACACAACTGACGTCTCAGATATCTGAATATATAAGCATAAAGCTGCTAAATCATAAAAGTCTCGGGATCTCCTACGTGTCTCCGAAATATCTCCGCACTAACTGCATTTTAAATTCTCGTTCGTGCTTCTTCGAGATAATAATTCTTCTCGCGGCGTGAGAGAGAAAAATAAGCGCGACTCGCGCGATATTTCCCAGTTTATTTCCGGACGTACATGCAGCGTATGTGTGATTCTTCGTTCAAAAAATGATCAAAGAACAAATCGAAACGTCTCTCCCGTCGCATCGCATGCTGTTGATTTTAATCAACCGCGCGCGAGTTTCGTCTATAATTATTAATTTTTCTCACAGTCGTGCGAACGACGCTCGGATGCGACAGACTGTGCACGCGTATCGAAAATTTAAATACAAGAAGAATCACTATTTCAGAGAAATGCTTTGTTCTCCATTTTCCTCGACAATCACCTAAAAGATCCCGCGTATCTCGATCCTCGGCAGCCAAGTCTTCTTTTTTCTTTTATTTCCGATACAAGGATATCTCTCTCTCTCTCTCTCTCTCTCTCTCTCTCTCTTCTTCCTCACGATTCGATCTATTAAGTAAATTATGATAAGTAACGATATACACATTTAATCCCACTTCGGAGGAACGTATCCGAATGCCGTAAATCTCGCTTTATTCGACAGACTCGTCGCGTCGTGTATCAAATAATAAAGTCTTCGATGCCAAATGGCGTCAACGGGGTGGAAAGGGTTTTACGAACGAGAGGATGGGTGTTCTCGGGACATGTGCACGAGCGCGTTCGCGAGAAAAAGGGAGAATTCGCGATCTGCGCGGTTGTACCAAAAAATAAGAGCCGCGATATATCTTCCCTCGGCGGCGGCGGCGCGTTCCATTATCGATAGTAACTTTCACTCCCGCCGTGTCCGTTTCTTCGCCATTCGATGCATCGGTAATTTTCCTCGATAAATCATACCCGTGGTGCTCGCTATCGCCGCGACGGAGCGTTATCTGGTAAAATTTACTCCCCCTTCAGCTCCCGAGAGCGCGCCATTCCGTGATTTTCGCGCGCGCGTGACACTTTGGAAATTAAGCTCGCCGCGATTCTTTACCCTTTTGAAATTAACCGTCCTCGTGACTCGGCCCAGCCGACGTCGATAAAGCGACCTCGAGACGGAAAGTCGGCCAAGAAGGTAGGAAAAAGAATCTGCCGGAAGTAATCGCGATATTTCTGAAAGAAATAGAGATAGAGAGATAGAGAGAAAGAGAGAGAGAGGGAGAGAGATTGCAATCGGAGCGCAAATCAACACATCCGTGCAAATACTAAGCGTACTCAATTTCCGCCCGATTTCCGCCTCGTGTCGTCGCTTCGAGCCTAATCTCGTGCCGTTGCAGATTCTACCGAAGCTGAAATTCCGCTACTCTCTCTCTCTCTCTCTCCACGCCCAGCAGCAAGCAGCGGGTAAGCGAGGTGAACGCTGCACCGCGCCGCCGCCACCACCGCCGTCGGAGTCGATTCAAGGTGCAGTCACCTTTCTCAGGGGCCGGGTGACCGTGGAATTCCGCTGGGTACACTCGGGCGGAAAAATAATCTCGTTCCGTAAAGTACATCTTCGCCGTAGCTCGCGCCCCTCTCGCTCCCTTTCTCTTTCTCCTCCTCCTCCTCCTTCATTCCTGTTCGTTCCCTCTCTCTCTCTCTCTCTCTCTATCTCTTTCTCCTCACCGTGGCCATTACGTCGGTCGAGGAACTAACTTAAACTCGGCCGCGCCCCGTGCATTTTAACGCAGCCACGATTTATCAGGGAGCGCGGTATTTTCGATGCGCGCCTCCGCCGTGATCGCCGCGGGGATTGCCTCGTGCGTAATATCGAGAGTAAAAGTGACCCGAAAGTCACCCACCACGTGGCGCGCGCGCGTTTAAATAGCGATTGAAACACTGTCGCTTACAACCAGTGCAAATCGAAGCTGAAATTCAACGCGTCGCGCGCTCGTCGACAGCTCAGAAGTCGCGACGGCACGCGGCTTTCCACGTGTGCGGGTTATAACGTCGACGAAAGATGGATCGACCGCGCGTGTTCTCTCTCTCTCTCTCTCTCTCTCTCTCAATTCCTGCGACTACACACGTGAAGGTGTTTCGAAGCTGTCGAGGCGGTTCTACGTGAGGCGCTCTTCGAAATAAAATTTGATATCGGGAAAACCGCGGAAGGAATTGAACGTTAAGTTGATAGCGGGGCGGAGAGAGAGGAGGGGCTAATACGAGAGCCGAACTCTCATATCGGGTTGAACTAAAACAAAATGAAATTTCTCGAATATCGTGACTGGAATATGAAAAAATTTGCAAGTCATCCGTATATTAAACAGCCCCGGAGGTGTTTACCGTTATTACTCGCGAGAATTCCCCCTCCCCCTCGAGATATTCGTATTCGGAGATCGACGCCTTGATCGGCGCGTGAAGAAGAGGACACCCATCCTTGCGCGCGCGCGCGCGCGAGCCAGGGAAAAACGAACGACATTCGCGTTCGGAAACCCGCGCGGTTCCCTACAACCGCGGAAACCTTAAGGTTGAACTCCCTAACGATCTTACACACCGAGTAGAAAAAAGGAAAGGAAACGGTCGCGTCCTTATATCCTAACTCTCCCACCGCGCGCGGGAGAAACCGATATTTTGATAATTTCTCCATCTCGCGATCTCTCTCTCCCTCTCTCTCCTTCTCGGCGATCGAATAATCGCACGCGGATTACCTGCTTACCTTCTCTTCTCCTCCGCTTTCTCCCTCTCGCGCTTCCGGTACCCGGGTACTCGACGACGATCTGAAGTGTGTGTATTCTTAAAATTACGATAGTCGAGGACGCGTGACACTAGCTGAACTATACCGTCTCCGTCGTGCCTCTGTACATTGGTGTTTTTATTTAGAAAATAATTCGACCGTTTAGAATATATAATTTATGTATATATTTATATATATATATATACTTAGAATATATAATTTATGTATATATATATATATATATATACTTTTTATTATTTATATATATATATATATATATATTTATCTGTGTATATGTATATATTTATATAGCTGCAGTCCTACGTTGCTTAGTGCGGTGTGTCTCCTCTCGTTTATGATACACTCCTTTATGATTTGCACGGAGCGAGCTTTCTCTCTCTCTCTCTCTCTTTCACCGTATCTCGCCAACGCGCTCGCTTCTCGAATAAAACGATCACGATCGAGCGACGATCGGTGTATCCTAACGAGTCACTCTCGTTCCGCGAGCTGTTGCCCGCGCCGATTCGAGACACCGCGACTCGTTACGTTCTCCCTGGCCTCTCCCCCGCCCTCTCGTCCTCGGATCTCGAAGAGTGACTCGGCGCAGACCGATGCGCTATCGAACTTCGGGTCTCGATCGAGCTCGGCGGTCTCGGCACGATCATCAAGTGGTCGAGCGCGTTTCTGTACGCGTGCGGTATGTATACGTATCACATGGAACAACAGGCTCCACGTGGCTGATGGCCCGTCGTTTCCGGTGTGGGACCGGAAGCTTCGTCTCTTTCCACGGCTCTTCGCGCGGCCCCGCGAGAGATTTCCGTTTGGCATTACTCATGCTCGACGACACTGATCTCGCGGTCATCAGCGCTAAGGTGGAGGAAAATCCCGGCGAGAGTTCGCTTCCGTCCGCTCTTCTTTCCCTCGGCGATACTCGAGGAGACTCCCCACGGTGACGCGAAAAACGCCCATAGTTCCCCCTCCTTTTTTTTTCTCCCGATAGCCGTCGTGCCGGTGAGAGGATAGGACTTGCTAAGTACCGTTTTAGGACTGTCGAAGTGCGTACGCGCGTGATCATGACGGAGAACTTATAGCTGTTTTTCGTGCTCTCTCTCTCTCTCTCTCTCTCTCACTCACTCTCGCTGCGATCGTTATACGTTAAATTAAGTATGAGGGCCGGAGGGAGGTCGAACTGCGAAAACACGGAGCCGAGTAAGAACGGAACTCGAAGAAAAAAGCATCCCAGGCGGTGAAGGTGTAATCCGCGCAACCGGCGAAGATAGTCGTCCCGGCTGCTTCATTCGCCCGCTCGGTGTATAACTCGCGAAGTAGTCCAACCTCGGGGGATTCCTCCGGCTGGAATCGACTGGTTGTCGCGTCGACGGTCGGTGCAGGACAATGCTAACGTATGTGCGTGTCTCCGTCTCGATAGTGATCCTGTGCAGAATGGCTTTCTCAGACTGCGCTATCACAGCGACGTAGCGAGGTAGGAAACGGCGATCGCCGCTCGCTACTCGAGTCTGCCCTCGCTTCTTGATATCCTTCCGGTCGACGATCTCCCCTGCGTTTCGCTCGGTCCTAATGGCTAATTTCCCTGGGCTTCCTTAGTGCTTCGGGCTTCTCCCTTACGGTCGCATCGTTCGTCGTGGAATTTTCTCGCTCGCGAGGCCAACAACGCAGAGGAGTCCGCGCGATCGTCTCCGTACAGATCCCGTCTTCCGTTTAGTCGCGACGCGCTCGTCGTCTACGCTCGGTACGTGCCGATACCGGCCAGGTCGAGGCTGTCCCGCAGTTCCATCTCCAGCTGCGGCTCCCGGTGCTTGTCCGGGCGGTGTTGCGCCAACGACGGCGGGCCGACGTCCCCACGGGGTTCGCGGTTTCTCTCGCGAGTGGACGACCTGTCCTTCTCGCGTTCCCTCGCGTGGTGATGATAGTGATGAGCGGCGTGGCCGTTGACCGGCAGCGTGGGGTACGACGACTGGCCGCACGAAGGCTGATGCCTGGAGGGCAACGGCGGCGGTGACGGGTGGTGGCGGCCGGCCGGCAGGATTCCGTTCTGGAGACCGACGGACTCGACACGCATCCGCTCGTCCGGCTCCCTGGAGGTGAGCTGCGGCTGCGAGTGCGGCGTGCGGCGCAGGGAGTGATTGGAGTAATGCGGTCTGCCGGCGAGCCCGTCGATCGGCGTGCCGCTCAACGACGCCGTACCGTCGTCGACGACGCCTCTACCCCCTCCGCCGCCGGCGCGGTGGCCGGACGCGTTGTTCGCGACGGGCAGCGTCCCCGGGCGGCGCATCTGACGCGCCGTCTCGCCGTCGATGTAGGTGAAGCCCTCGGCGAGGGTGGTGCTGCCGTGCGGCAGGAACCAGACCCCACCGGTACCGGGGCTCGCCGCCCGAAGTTCTAGCTACAGCTCCGTCACGGGTATCGGCTTGATGCCGGCCGCTATCTGCGCGTGTTGCTGCTGCTGCTGTTGCTGCTGCTGCTGCAGGTGGTGGTGGTGATGGTGCGCCGGCACCTGCTGCGACTGCGGCTGGTGGTGATGCTGGTGGTGATGGGCGTGCGCCGATCGGACGATGTACTCGTCGTCTGAGAAAGTCTTCTGGTACTCGTGCTCTTTCCGCGATATCGCCCGGTTCTTCCACTTGTAGTCCTTGAGCACGTCGCGCACGCGCCTGCGACAGCGGTAGTACAGGGTCAGCGCGAGTACGGTGAAGACGGCCACGCCGGCGGCGCATATCGTCGCCAGGAGGGCCTGCTTGCGCGGGTCCGAGAAGGCGCAGCCCAGCTCGTCGGGCGTCATGCCCTTGATGGGTTTGCCCTTGGACTCGGCCGGCTCGGCGCATATCACCGGACTGCAGTTCCTCGGCACCAACACCTCCGCCAGCCAGAGCAGGCTGCAGTCGCAGACCAGCGGGTTCTCGCTCAGGTCCAACCGGCGCAATTCGTTCCACGCGACCAACGACTCCGAGAACATGACGAAGGCGTTGTCGCGCAGCATCAGGTGCCTGAGATTCGGCAGGCCAGCCAGCGCGCCGTCCTCCATGGTGGCTAAGCGCTTGTTGCTGTTCAACACGAGACTCTCCAGGTTGGCGTTATCCGAGAAGGCGCCCTTCTCCACGGTGGTGAGCAGCTTGGCGCCGGATACGTCGAGCTTCTTCAGCGTCGACAGACCTTGAAAGGCGCCCGATCGCAGCATCGTGAAGAAATTCTGGCCCAAGGTGAGCTCCTCGAGACGCGGTAATACCGCCAGCTGCTTCGTGGGCACCTCGCGCAGCTTGTTGGCGCCCAATTTCAAGGTGCGAAGGGCGTTCAGACCCCGAAACGCACCGTCGCTGATGTTGTCCAGCCCCGCGCCCATGATGTCCAGCACCGCCAACTGCTCGAGACCCTTGAACGCGTCATCCGGCAGCGTGGAGAAGGCGTTCCAGCCGATGTGCAGCTCCGCGAGGGCGTTCAGCGGCGACAGCGCCGGCGACGGCACGGTTCTCAGCTGGTTGTCGTCGAGATACAGCACCCGCAGGGTGCCCAGCTTCTGAAACGCGCCCGGCTCGACTTTCGATATGCGATTCTGGCCCAGGTCGAGCTCCTCGAGCTTCGACAGGTAAGCGAAGAGGCCGCTTTTGAGCGTCTCCAGGTAATTGTCGCGCAGGTTCAGCACCGTCAGGGACTTGAGACCCTGGAACGTCTTCTCGGTCAGCGCTGAGATCTTGTTGTGCTTGAGGTGGAGCTCCACCAGGTGCCGTTGCGCGTCGAAACTGCCGTTCGGTATGGTAAACAAGTGATTGCTGGAGAGATCGACGTTCTTCAAGTCACCGTAGAACTGGAACGCCGCCGCGTCCACGATCTTGATGCGGTTCTCCTTCAGCACTATCCGCTGGATACTGGGATTCAACGCGATCGGTATGACGTCCAGGTTAGCGCCCACGCAGGACACCACCAAGGTGTCGTCGTCGCAGGTGCAGCCGGTGGGGCAAAAAGTTCGAGCCTCGGCCGTGCCGAGGGCGAACAGCCCGACGAGGACGAGCAGGTGGAGGACGCTGCTGACGGTGAAGCTGCGCCGTGACGTCTGCAAATGACAAAACGAGCAAGTTTCGATTAGTCGTGACGGGACGGTTTATTTATAGCGATGCCTAGATACCGCGCGCATGAATCGTGAGCTGTTGTGATATTAGGTTTTTACACCGGCGGGAGGAAAAAATTTCCTCGTCCGTGAATCAACTGAATTATATCGCAGAATGCTGCAAAATTACGGTAGAAAGTTGTATTAAAATTAAAAGTATATGAAATAGGTTGTAAAATATTGTAAGAATTATAAATATAATTATATATATGTAATGATAAGAATATATACATTATATCATTGTATAATAACATGAGAATTATAAGTATAATTATATAAAATGTAATAGAACATAAAAACATTGCGCATATAAAAAGAAAGAGAGGAAATTCTCCCACGTTGATTATTGTACTTTACTATTGCAAAGCAATTGTACTTAACTTACTATTAAACTTTATCAATTTAAATTGAAACTAATTAGATTTGTTTATTCATCAGATTTGTTTATTCATCAGAAACTCGAGTTTACTCGTCGAAAGAAAAAGACGAGCTGTTCCGAACTATCGCGATGTTGGGCGTCAAGTTAGTAGCACCACGTTTCTTAATTGCAATTTTAACCGGGTCACCAGCCGGAATTCATCAGTTCTAATCGTAACCATCGATTTGTAATGGCGTGCCAATTCCTAAACGCGAACGCCCAATTACAGTATACAGTTTTTGCGATCGGGTACGGTTGATACGAATACACACACATACACACTCGGGAGGGGTTTGTCGCTCTGCCGTCCGAAATAATCCGCCAGGGGGTAAAACTCGGGCGTGACGGTCTCGTGAATCGCGCGCCTACGCCGGACGAGAGTTTCACCGAGTCGGCGAATTGCTGTCGTAGAGAGCGGAGCGCGCCGCACGCTCTCTCGATTCTACGTCTAGCGAGAAGGAGCGCTGTCGAGAGTCGCCCCCGGGAAATCGATATCGTCTGGTGTACACTGTGCCCAATTTACGCCGGTTTTACGACGGGAGCGTGGAATTATTTCTCGCGCAGTTTCACCGCCGACGTGGCCGAGGAGGAGCAGCAGCCGTAGTGGCAGTGGCGGCTTCGCTTCGCCTATCTCTCTCTCTCCCTCTCTCTCGCTCGTTCGCTCACTCGCTCGTTCTCTTCCGTAACGTAAGGCAAGTTATTTCCGTTTTCGTGGGCCGGCGATCGCGCACGTAGGTGCGAAATTAAGCCTGCCGCGTGCAGCTGAAACACCCGACGGGCTAAATTATATCCGGAAATACGAGCGCCCGCGGCTGTTCCGCGGATAATAAGCCCCCGGGGTGTAAAAACTTCTATTCGAGATGGAAACGCCGAGCGGCATACCGCGCGCGCGTCCGACGCGCTCGGGACGTCCGTGCGCACCAAGTACGCCGTAAAACCTAAACGGAATGGCTGATGACCGAAACGGGCGAAGACGCCCGTTTCCGACCGAAAGGCGGAATCGCGCCTTCGTGCGCGCGGTACTTATCAGCGGACCTGGCAAAAATTCGATATCGATCTGGACGGCCGTTCTTTTCACCGTCGTTACCGCCAACGTCATCGCGATACGGATAGACGGTTATCCCGGATATACCGTGCGTAAATCCGGGGTGGCCGAGAAAAAACACAACGAATTTTGCGAAATGAACCCGAGTCGGAATCTTGATGCTACACCGTGACGCCCTTCAGGTTTGTTTGCGCTTACTTAGATAACCTGTGGACTGATCAAGTCTACATTTATCAGCTTCTCCCTCCCTCCAATAACATCTCCGTGCCTGTAATATTGTGTGTACATTTCTCTTAATTTCGCTCAAAATTAAGACTTAGTCAAACGAAGTTATAGAAAAGCATTTTTCTTCACTAAATTAATAATAAATTTATGTAGGAATCTCTTAATATCGTTACTTAATATCGCTCGAAAATTCGACACCATTACGATACAATTATCTTAATTCTAATGCTACGTTGAACAATCCATTTTGACACTAAAACAGAAACGAAAATTTAAGACGTTATCAGGATGCAAATAGAGGTAAATCATATTATTAGAATTAAAATTGAGCCTGTTTTGCTGTTTTAACTTCTACTGTGTCGTAGAATTAAAGATTTAACATAAGACCAAAAAGTTTCGACTCGGGTAATTTCACACGGACCTGCGTGCGTTGGGACACTCCGTCTCTTCATCGAGACAATCCATCGTGCGAGCGGTGTAACTGATACCATCATTGCTATTGTTAAATCATTAAACGAGCTTTCCGCACTCTAGAGTTGATGTGAGCGGGCGTTTCAATCCTCGTTGTGCGAAACGACGCGACAATTTATTTTTTTTTTCAATCGAGCTTCCGATCAAGATCTCGGCGATCTGACGAGTCGCGTTCGCGGCAACACTGTTTTTATCCGGAGACCCGTCCGCGATTCACGTTCGTGAGGACGTGATTTGTCGTGAGTGATAAGGATATTTTCCTTGCGATAGCAGTCCGGGTCAACAAAAGTCTGAAAATCCAAAGCGGGGTGAAATCGATCGCGCGAGCGGCGTGACGGTCGCTCGCAAAATACCGGGAATATTAACGGCGTTTCGGAAAAAAGAGCTCGCGCGTGATTTACGTACGGAAGGATTTATTTCGAAAGCTCGCCTCGTCCACCTCGTCGAGCCGGTGTCGTGCTGCTGATGCACTCCGTACGCTCGCATTAAGCCGCATATACAGTGTGTCTTCGAAATCACCGACGCATATTTCAACATCGCGATATCCGGCAAACTCGACACGAAAAAGAATTGTGTACTGCCATACTTTTCTCTCTCTCTCTCTCTCTCTCTCTCTCTCTCTCTCTCTCAACGTTAACGTCCTGATCCTTCTCGAATTGGTAAACAATTAAATAAAAAGAAATCCAAAAATTTAATGATGTATGTTCTGAGAGAAATTATAGTCAATTTTTACCTCATATCCTTTTCATAGTTTTAACTACAAAAATAGTAGTGGCGATATGCACGTAAGATCACTATTACCGACATTATAATAATATTTACTAGAAAAATAGGTCTGATTAAAATTTCTTTCGCTACGATGATTATAGTCACAGATATCAGTTTTCTCTCGGTGTAGGAAACTCGAGCACAAACGATGCTTAATTTCCGCCTGGGGGAAAAGAGTTCGTGTGCGCGGGATTTAATCGCCGAGATACACTCACCATCGAAAAGCGAACGCGTTCACGCGAGTCGCAGAATGAGTCTCCGATATTCGTTTCCGGTCTCGGCTCGCGGGGAGATCCGCGGGGGTGTAGTGCGCGCCCCGTGCACTGCATCGTCCGACTTTACACGTACGTTTCAGCCGTTACCGAGCCGACTGGTTGACTGCTAATCCGCGCGACGAAATGCGCGAGACGCGCGGAACGCAACCGGATATTCGGCCACGTATCACTCGCTACCGCTGCTGCCGCATGTCAGCCGTATTAAGGCTAAAAACGGTCGCGTCATTAGGAAAGGATTATGCGAACCCGCAAATACCGAACTTCCTCGCGCCCTCCGCGCGCCTGGCCCCATTACTCATTTCCCATTTCAGCCGCATTACGCAGCATCGCGGAATCCAACCGCTATTTAATGAGTTTAGAGGCCCGTTGGGTCGACCCACTACTCCCCTTGCTCGCTTGTCCGCCCCCCCCCCCTATCTTTTTCCCTTTGCGTAATCGGTTGTCTCCTTCGCCGTTAACACCGACAGCGATATCATTAACACTTGGTTGCCCGATTATTTACGGAGAGGATTAAACATCCGCTCTTTCCCTTTCCCGAACGATTCTGTAAATCATACATGATATAGAAACATTTTGTTCTCGCGTTAAAATCGATCCTTGTTGATACTTAAGTGTTTTGTGTTAAATTTTTAACATACCCGTATGTTAATTTAACATATTGTGTTTATGTTATCTCAAAATTTGTGTTGTGTCAATATTCAACATATGTTGTATGTAAGTATAAGTGTTGAAATAACACATTTGGCATTTTAGTGTCGATTAACGTGTTATAATTTTCTGTGAATTTTTTACATAATATCTGTGTTACTTTTCAACATATTCTTATTCCGTGTTAAATTAACGCAACGATTTTAGTGAACTGTTTGGAACATATGAAATGTGTTAAATTTAACACGAAATTTTTTACTGTGTTTTCCTTTCAATAATAACCGAGATACGCGAACACACGCTGCATCGTGGCGAAAATGTATCATCCGTTAAACTGACATCTCTGACAGGAAAAATCGAAATAGGAGTTAAATCAGAATCAAGGGTGTTAGATTAAGAGATGCGAGTCAACAAAGAAGACCTATATATCCTGTGCTCGCCAGCGTCAAGTTTTTATAAAAATTGATGTAACGTTTCAGCAATTAAAACATATTTCCTGATTTATAACATATTATATCACATCACATTGTATTATATCGCACATTCTGTTCTATTATATTATATTGTATAATATATTACTTTATATTGTATATATATTATAATATATTACAATATACAATACAACCCCTATTTTCAAGCGTAAATTCCTGCTAAACTGCTCGAACGCTAAAATGAGGACGCGTAAATTAGCATCTAATTGGCATTTAATTCCGGCACAGTTCTGTTTCGATTTTTTGCCCCGGGACTTAATAGAGATCGCACCTGCTCCGGTCTCCGCTATTTGAAACTCGAAAACGCGATTTATTATCCGCGCAGATTTTTTATTCCGAATCCATGAGCTTTCTTTCCTCGGGAGGCGCGTCCGGCGTACTTACTGTTCCTCGCGAACTGAGACGCACGCGCGAACTTCACAATTAATGTATGCTCACTTGGTGAGCATACAATCTGCTTCTTGTAATTATAACAACACAGACGTACGCACTCGCGCGTGTACGTGTATTCTCCCTCATTACTGTTATTACTAGTAACTACATCAAGTCGTGGTCCCGCTGTATATTTCAATTACCTTCTGCGAAGCACGGGAAATTTCTTACCC